CCAAGCCTATTTTAGTAGTTTATCACACACAATAGCTCATTTAGACTATCTAAGCCATCCTTAATAAGCCAGGTTGTGCACAAACTTGATACTCCCACAAACATTCCCCTTTTCCTCCCTTTGTTTAAGGAGTGGGAAGGGGGCATTAAGCTGTGGTTCTATATAGACCAAGAACTATGACTAAACAAGGCCAGATTCAAAAGCTAACTTTAAACCATCGTGATCCTAGCCTGGTTTCTACATAATGGGAAGTACTTGTTCAGTACAGCCTCCCAGCTTGTTTTGTCAAGGGAGCAGCAATGGTTGCACGTTTGGTATAGGGAGCAGCAATGGTTGCACGTTTGGTATAGATGGTGTGTCTATATTGTGGTATATTCAGCTGGATTTGAGCATCTAAATTGGGACAATACATATAGTAACTTTTGCCTGAGATAAGCAATCTCTAGAACGATGCTGGCTCAAATAAATAGTGTTATTTCACTATGAAGTGAAAGACAACCAACAATACATGAAACGAAAAAGTTTCCCTTTCAGGGGTATATCTGAACTGTATATATTGAGACAGGAAATAAAGCCCGACTACTCATTGGAGGGAAGGATATTAGAGGCAAAGGTGAAGTACTTTGGCCACATAATGAGAAGACAGGAAAGCTTAGAGAAGACAATTATGCTGTGGAAAATGGAAGGAAAATGGAAGGAAAAAGGAAGAGGGGCCGACCAAGGGCAAGATGAATGGATGCTATCCTTGAGGTGACTGGCTTGACCTTGAAGGAGCTGGGGATGGCCGACAGGGAGCTCTGGCATGGATTGGTCCATGAAATCACGAAGAGTCGGAAGCGACTGAACAAATAAACAACAACAGTATATTGAGAATAATTATCCAGTAGTGTTTTGGAGTCTCTGAGAAGGCCTAATCTGGGAATTGTGTTGTTTAAAAAAGTTACATTCAACTTAGGTGAGCAGTTATACATAACTGAACGGTAGAGGGTTTATTAAACGATCATACTGAATTGACATGAATGTAAAAATGATGGATAATATCACATTACCATTCTAAAACAGGTACTCTTGCTTTGCAGAATTCTGGGAAATGTAGTTTAGGGAATCCAAGGACCTCTCTAGGTAAGAATTTGAAAGGCCCTGTCCTCAACTACATTTCCCAGAATTCTGCAGGAGACAGCCACACAATAGCAAAGTAGGAATGCCCGCTTTAGAACAGTAATGTGACCACACCCTTAGGGCTCTTCCACACAGCCCTATGCCTTAGAATATCAAGACAGAAAATCCCACATTATCTGAGTGCAGATATTGTGGGATTTTTCTGCCTTGATATTCTGGGATATAGGGCTGTGTGGAAGGGCCCTTCGAGTCATTCTCATGGTCAGTGTAGCCTAATTCTGATGTTATACAGAGCATATTCCTATGAATTCATTGAAAACCCTTTAGCCAAAATCTGAGGCTTCTTCAGTGCAAAGATTAACAATTATACGTAGCTCCTGATTTTGATTAGTAATGCACCTAGCCGCCTGCAGATGTAGATAACAGTAGTCTCCCTAAACACAGTCACTAAAATCAACAGGACATAATATTAGGTTTGGATCATACCCAGTTTTTAAAAACATACTTAGTCGTTAGGCAGAGTATGTGAAGTAAAAGCCACACAAGACTGCAATGGAGAAGCAAGGCAGAAGATCAGTAATAAAAAGAGAAGACTGTTTTCTCCCCAGGGTGCTCTGCAACATTGACTTCAATGGTGTTTGCTTTAGGAGAACACTTGAAAACTGGCTGCAGCTGCCCATATTCTGCCTGGGGTGGAGTGGGGGAATCAAGCTCAAAGCTGTGCAAGTTGTATTTAGCACTGAGTGCCTTCTGCACTTTTGTTTTTTGAGCTGCTTGCAATGGGTGTTCAAAATAAATGCCAAACCTGCATATGTGAGATTTTGGCATATGCATAATTTTAATGATGCCAAAAACCCATGTGCCAATACAGTATTAGTATTTGAGACACAAGACACTATTTACTTGGCTGAATGAGAATACTGTAACTTTTGAACGAAGAGATTCATAAGCTGCATTCTAGCAATTTGCTTTTTTCTTACCAGTAAATAATTTGCTAATGATTCCTCCTTCCACACAATTCTATTTTCTCCCTCTGTTTTGTACAATTGTAGTTGTTTGCAACCATGCAAAATCATGTAAGTGTGATAAATATATAATGATGATTTCCCACATGTATCTGTTTATCCAAGTTTATTTTACTGCATCCTTGTAAAAGAATGCTCTACCTCCATTTATTAATCATACTTATATTTCTCATAAGTAGAGAAAATCAACTCTTCTGCAAAGTTTTACCTTTGAAATTATGCAATTTTTGAAGCAGGATAGAAGTGGTTTTTAAAAAAGAATGTGTGTGAACGCATTGCTTATTCATCCTGGTACTTATTTACCTTTGATTCATCCATTTCACTTAATAGTATTTTTTTTGTTTTTGTTTTAACAGACATCTCAACAGTGAGCATGCGTTGGATGATAGGAGTACAGCCCAATGTAGAGTCCAAATGCAGGTTGTACAACAGTTAGAGTTGCAGGTAAAAATAATATATTATTTTAATTTTGTCTTTGTATACACTGAAATTTATGAAAATAAGTTTTGCTTTGCTCAGCTGAAATTTGGGGCAAGAAGTTTTCAAAAATTATTTATAATAATGTTTAAAATTATTAAAGTTTGTAGCCTTCCATAAATAAGCACTGCACTGTTTGTAATTTTCAGTGAATGTTTATTGTGTCTTGCACTTAAATTGTGGTTTTGGTGAAGAATATAAATGTTTTATTCTATTTCTTTCTGTTGGGAGTGGAGATCATCTGACTCAACAGCCAAGAGAAATCTTAGCCTTCTTTTCACTAAAATTCCCATTTTGTTCTCTCTTTCTCATTTGTGTGAACACAGACACACATATATATCTGTTTGATCGATTGGTAAAAGTTTTAATTGTTTATATGCTTAGATTGCTTATATTTTTATGAGATGTGTTTTATTGTTATCAGTGCAGCATTCAATTTTTACCGGATTTGTTAGTCGCCTTGAAGCCCCTCTTGGGTTGAGAAAGGCGGGGTAGAAGTGAAGTAAATAATAATAGTAATAAATATATAAGCAGATACATATACACAGCTAGACAAACTGTCATGTAACTCTGTATCTGTTAAAAAAAGGGGAGGAGTGAATCTGGTAGAATCTTTAAGACTTTTATTTTACTGTAAGTTTTTGTGGATTTCAATCTGCTTTTTCAGATTGATGAAATGCAATGTACAGGCAACTGGCAACAATGCATCTGAAGATATATATTGAAATTCACAAAACCGCTTGCAAAAATGAAACACTTAATCTTCGATGAGCCAATTGGATCCCCCCTCCCAATATATGTGTGTGTGTGTGTATTTGGAATGGGCTCATGTTTGTGCTGATTGTAATAAATATGTATTTATTTAGATAATAGAAGTATTTATTAAGTATTTATTTAGATAATAGAATTAGAGCTTATAAAGATGAGCAATTGCAAGATTATTACAGCCTATACACACATATAGCATAAACAGACATCTATTTCAAAATGCTTAAAATCTGTTTCTGCCTTAGTCTTCTATGTGGATTGGCTTTCTTCATGTGTAGCAAAAGGGCACCCAAAGAAGACAAATTAAAACAATGTACATTATATAGTTACAATTCCTTTTAAAAAAAACCCATTCCTGTTTTGTATGCAAGATGGTAATGTAGAGATATATAGAAAGCCGTGGGCTAAGTACAGAAGATAATTACATTTCGAATTTTACTGAGTTAGTAATTTACAGCTTCAAATAGTTATAGAGGAAAATCAGCAAAAACACACTTAAACTTTTTGTTGTTACTTTTTCCTGATAGCTATGACATATTTTAAAAATTCCTTTTATCTTCTTATCTCACAAATTAGATACTTTTTTGTCCACATATCCTTCTAAATTGCACTTCCTTCAAAACTATGATCATGACACCCTTTAACTATTGTCAAAAATATTTTAATACAAGTTTTGTGAGAAATGAAACATGTAGAATTATAAACTTCACTAGACACATAATTATGAAAAATGTTTTACAATTCAGAATAGGTTTTCCTTATTTCTAAAAATATGAATTTTGCTGGTAAGCTCAGAGGACATCATCCATCAGCTAAATGCTTATCTCTAGGCAATTTAAGAAAAGTAAATCTTCCCAGTATGAAAAAAAACTCCAAATAAAAGGATTTCACCAAAAGAGCAATTGTCCATGGAGGCTATAGAAGTTCTTTCCTGTAGAAATTATCAAGGAAAGTCCATACTTTCTCAAACATTTGATCTGCCAGGTGTGGTAGACCTTCCCCAACTTGTCTAAGGCCCCCTTCATTAACTTTGTAGTTGAGAAATGAAGCACAATGGGGTAAATAATAGTAGCCCAGAGCATCATGGTAGGAAATGTGGCCTGATTAGAGTGATGTGTCCTATGAAGAGCCCAGAGGCCTGGTATTAAGTAAAAGAGCAAGTCTTTCCAAAGGCCAGTTGATGAGGAAGTGGTTATACAAAAAGGGCTCCACTGTTGTTAACATAGTTTTGGAAGGGAAACAAGTCCTGAATAAAATTTTAACAGGGACCAAGTTCTTTAGCTGTTCTTATACTGGGTGGCAATTTTTAGAAGTAATGAGTCCCAGAGTTTTGCCAACAAATCAGCCATGCATAATGTACTGTGAGCCCTTGGTATCTCCTAGCAGTCCTCCTGCACATACACAAATCTATGGGTGCTCACATTCTATATGGTGGCGTAGAAAGTGCCATCCCTTATATAAAATGACAAATGATACTAAGCTTACTTATTTATTTTTTAAAAAAATTGAGCCTTGGTTGTTGAATCTGTGGCTACAGAACCAATGGATATTGAGGGCCAGATGTACTGCCACTTTGAATCCCACCCATGGGAGAAAAGCGGGAGAAAAATAAATAAAAAATAAAATAATAATAATACTTCTCTTTCAATATTTAGCTATTATCTTACAGGCATTCTCCAAGAAAAGCATGACAACATTTTGTGCTTTGAAGATCACTTATTGTCAATAAATGTAGTAAAAGACCCTTACAATAACTCACATTTGCTTCATGATGGCTGCAATTTAATCCAGTTTGGAGATCGGAAGCCCCTTTACATTAATAGAAATACAGAAGAAATTAACTTTATTTTACATGATGAGGGAGGGGCAGTACTTTTTTTATAGATTATAATGGCATTGCACTTCTTTCTATATTCGAAATGGTACCTATATAAGTTGTAACATATACATTTAATTTGAAATTAAGTTAAATTGAGTCACTTTAGTTGATTTTAAAACAACTAAATGATGGCCGGCAGCAGTAGCAAATGTCTTCTAAGGCAGCACATTGGAAATATCTGTGTTGCCACTTTCAGTTCAGTTACTATTGTATTCAAAAAATTACATTTCCTGCCTTATCTACCAAAATGTTCTCATTGGATATTTTATTGCTAACATGTGTGTGCTTCTGGCAAAGTTCTCTTTGTCTTAGCACTGATTTCACACATTACGCTTCCATGTGTGGTAGTGGATTGTGAGAGTTTGCCATGGCATAAAAACATAAAATAACAAGAGGCCAGAAATCAATTTAAAACAGAAATTAATATTTTTATAGATACATCCAAGTTGAAATGAAATACAACAGTGAGCTCAAATAAATGATTGCCCAATAGCATACCGTATTAATAGCCTGTGCGGACAGATATCTGGCCCATTAATTCATCGCAAATGCTGATACTAGCCTTTAGTGAGTTTGACTGAGCTGATGTTGAGCCAGCCCTTACCTAAATCCTGAGATGATATGTGTTCATTTTGCCTGTCAAACTCTCAGAGCAAACAGAACATTGTTTGGTTCCTATGAACTCCCTCCAATGGAGACAGAGAATAAATGTCACATAATAATAATTCCTGGCCATCAAGGCCTAAAACTTCCCATATGTACAGTTTGGGTTTTATTGTTATTTTCTGTGTAGCAAACCAAACCAAACTCACACCTAGAGAAATCCCATTTATAATTCCTTTCTGGATGCTGCCAAAGCAAAAGAAAGACATGTGAAACAGAATTGAGCAACATAAAAGGATCCAGTTTTCTGCCCTGTAATCCTCCAAGAACCTCATACATTGCAAAGAATGTCAAAATAGAGAAAGAAAGCCTTTGGAGTCACATTGCTTAGTGCTGACAAACACATATCTATTATATTTTACTTATTCATCAGTGATTTTTAGGTCACTGATCCAGTACTTAAAAGAGTTTCCAAGTAAATCTTCAATTGAAGCATTTTATCATGTAAATGAAGAAATTTTCAAAAAACCATTTGCCCCCACATCATATTTTCCATCGGACCACAGGAATCTGCCTTACACTAGGTTGGGTTATTTGTTTATCCTGCTCAGTTCTGTCTAGTCTGATACTCTGGAAGACGGGTCTCCAGGGTCTTGAGGTGTTTTCCTCATCACCTGCTATCTCATGATGCTTTTAACAGGAAATGACAGGGATTAAATAAGGTGCATGGAAGACATCCCCCAATATCAAGCTATACCCCCTGTTTTTTTCCAAAGTCTCCATTAGATTGGATGTTCCCAAAGGAGAGAGATTATAGGTCACGTGATAAGGCAACACTTTGTATGCAGAACAGCCTACATAGCTGACATCTCCAAGCAGAAATAGAACATTTGGAAATCCAGGAAAGTTGCTTCCAGTCAGTGAAGACCATTCTGAATTAGAATATCTAACTCCATTTCAAACAAATCTTTCTTCTGAAAACTATGATACTCATCTATGACATTATTTTAGCTTCAGGTTACCTGCTGCAGATGACTAAGATCATTTTACACATTTCTTCATGGAGCTTATTATTGTGTAGAAAAAAAAGTGATTGTGACAAATGAAGAAGCGAAGAAATACCCTGTTCACTGCAGTGTGTGTGTGTGTGTGTGATTGGGGTGTGTGTGAAGGTTATGCGTAGTTTCATGTTTCGGACAGCTGCTGCACAGTGGCTAGTCAATATATTTAATCACTGAAAATAGATACATACAGGTTTGAAATAGAGAGTACTATGTAACTAGATTGGGGGAGTAAAAAAAAAGATTGTCTGCCAATATCCAAGATAATCAGCCCAGGGGCCTGCAGAATAGGCACAACATGCACATATTTGTTGTGTGTGTGTGTGTGTTTGTCACACAAAGTGGCCTTAAAACAAATCATTAGTAAGCAAATGTAACCACCACCACCCCCCCCATACCATTAGGCAGCTAGTGCTTCAAGACCTTGGGAGCCCTTTTTGGTGCCATGCTGATGAGAGCTTGCTCTATTACCATGGCCTTGTGACTTCTTCTGAGTGATCTAACTGAACAGCAGGGAGTTGCTAATGGACTTATGGGTTCATATTGGTTGCAGTTTCTGACCTACAGGAAAGCAACCTAAAGAATCCCCTGATACTTCACTTTCTCTTTTCTGTCTGGAACTCAGAAAGCTTTCTTATGTTTCATTTAGACTTCTGCCCTCGATACAAATATCTGATATTTACTCTGTTTAAAATTTACCTTTTTGTAACTGCAAGAGAAATTTAGCAGCTGAATTTTTAATTAATTTATTTTTTTTAAACCCAAACAAACAAATTTATAAACAACCCCATATATATATAAAACACCAGACAAAATACATAGAAGTGTTCCTCCACCCATAAAAACAAAACCATACAAATACTTTTTCTTAATATAAAAATATCTATAGCTAATACAACATACTCTACAACAATCATCTTTACTATGACTATCACAGACCCCTAACACTAGAAATGTGCTACACATACAACAACAGTGCCTGCCTTCTCTGTGCCTCACATTCTCTGCCTGTTGATTTCAACATCTTCACTTTTCTACACCCATAAGGTTCCACTAATACTACCTTTGGACTTTTAGTAGTACTCTTACAATTGAAAAAATCAGTAGTAAATGTTTGTCCTCATCTTTGGTGTAAGAAGTTAATAAAGTCTTTCACAGTTTCTCGTATTTCTGCAGTTTGGGACTCATTCAGCACAAAATTCATACATGGATTTTTGCACAAAACACCTCTTTTGTTGCAAAAACAAATATGTTTTGTGTCCAAATAAGACCATGTCCAAATTTGACATAGAATAAGTCTCAAACTGTAAGGATTCTTGTTAGTTTCAGGTTTTTTCTTGGCAGCATTTCCTGACACTCAAGAAACATGTTTTTTTCATTCATTTTCAAGCATTTTTAAAACATGCTTTCAATTCCTGATTTTTAAATCTTATTTAATGTGCTAAATGACTAGGCAAGACATACATGAACAAGGAAACTGGTGTTAAGCCTAAAGATGGTGCCTAAACCATCCACATTTTACACCAGAAATCCAACTGACATGATCTGCATACCACATTGATTATACATGTAATGATTGTTAATATGCAAAACTCATCAAGCTAAATTAGCATATTTAGTTAATTTTATTTCTAACAGAGACAATAGACTTACTGTTTGATCATTTTCAGTGTCAGTTGAGACAGACTTTCCATAAAGAGTTGCTACATGAGAGAGACAGTACATCCTTATGGTTGGTCATTTCTACACCGATCTGTTGTCACTAGTAATGAATGTTTAAGTTGCTGTTTACCAAAGGGGGCAGTATGAATATATATAGATACATAAACTGTCCATGAATAGTCTGAAATGTATGTCAAATCTCCAATTTCAAAAAGCCTTCCTTGGTCATTTTGAGCACATTTTCATTAAGCAATTCCATAATTGTCATTGGGAAGCAGAGGAGATGGAACATTAATAAGCCATTTCAATCTAAGGCACATGGAGAATCCATGGCATGGTTTTCTGTGGCCTTTAGGTGGCCTCTTCTACACATTAAGAATATTTGTTATGTTAATTAACTAGATCCTTTGGAAAGTGGTATGAAATTATTAACACAAATATTTTTCCCAGCTTTTTCATAGGCTTCTTCTACACTGCCATATAATCCAGTTCAAAGCATATAGACTGGATTTTTTATGGCAGTTTAGAAGTAGTCATAGTCTAAATGCAAAGTTTACAATACAAATGATTCAATAGCACACACTGGTTGTGGCACAGCAATTCTCTCTCAGGGAGTCTAGCTACATTTGTTGTTCTATATTTGATATCCAAAGATCATCCTTAAAACTTTTGGTTATGTTGTATAAGCAGTATAAAACTTATAACAACAAAATCTCACCTGAAATAAATCCTGTTGGCTGCATGCAAATGAGAGCATGCAGCCTCCTCTGTCTCTCCCTCTTCCCACCCTATCCATAGTTAGCTACTTTCTGTAATTCTTGTTCTGTGCACCTTGATTAATTCTTTTATTCTAGAGCTGAAAATATAAGTTTAACAGCATGGATTTAGCTCTCCACGAACGAGGGGATGGGATATATGGGGAACAAAAGTTATGGCGAGAAAAAGGATTCTCTGTGCTTATTTTTTAAATACTAAATCACGAAAAAGGCGTTTTTTTAAAAAAACTACTACATTACACTTTCTGCTTTACCTTCTGGCCATGATTTTTGGTAGAGGAGGTTAGTAAATATGATTCATTAAGGTCTTTTAGCTCTCAGTGTCGCAATGAACTCACTGGTGCCACCAGGTCTAGCACTGTTTCAGTCAAAAGCTAATGCATTTTGCGTTGCAAAAAGCTGATACCAAGCACCAAGGGTTTTGTTTCACTTTTAAGAAATGGAGCGGGGGTGGTGTTGGTCACATAGTATTTCCAAATCACCAAGTAAAGCATATGCTTTCTTGTTATGTGCCAACCATAATGCCATGGTCTCATTAAAGAAGCACACTTCTGGATTCTGTTCTCAAAGGCAACTTTAACATTTTCTTTCCTGTTCAGCTTTCAAAAGACAAAGATCGCCTGCAAGCTATGATGACACACCTTCATGTGAAGTCAACTGAACCAAAAGCCACCCCTCAGCCTGTAAGTATCTGTTCAAATAAAACAAAGCTTCATCACAGCTTTTTGTAACTTCTGAGATCATAGTGACAAATGGAGACTTTTAAAATAACCATCTAATTGGAGAGAAGTGTTTTTTCTTCACCGGAAGACTAGCAATCTGAAAGGTTTTTTCTAAAAGGGCAACTGTATTAGTCTGTGCTGCAGCAAAACCCAAATAAGAGCCCCATGGCAGCTTAAATACTAATTAATTCATTGCAATTAGTTCATTCATAAAGTGCAGCTCATCACTTGGTCATACTACTTAGTGAAAATATATATATATACATATATATATATATATATTCACTAAGTAGTATTTTTATAAAATTACTGAACAAGCATATATATATATATACGTGTGTGTGTGTGCTTGTTCAGTAATGTTCTAAAAATTACACTTGAACATTGCAGTTGTATATTTATCTGCTCAGAAGTTTCGCTGAGCTCGGTGACAGTGCAGACTCTAAATCACAACTGGCTACCAATGTTATCTATCTAATTGATATGTATAAAATAAATTAAAAGTCCTTCCAGAAATAAATACATTTGTGAAAGCTGGACCTGTAGGACAGAAGATATCCATCTCCTGGAAAGGCATCTCCAAATTTAAAAATCCAATTTTATACATAAGATGTAAATATGCACTTCGTAATGAACCTGTTCATAATCATTTAGCATTTCTATACTACGCATCATATTTGAGGTGATAAATATGTTTAGAATTCATGCCATAAGAAATAGGAGGGCAAATCTGGCCATTCAGATGTTGTTGGGACCATAACTTGCACCATTCTTCACCATTGGCAATGGCAGTTTATGACAATTGTGATCTTCCATACATGGGAATTAAAGAAGAATATGCTCTTAACTGAAAAGCGAGCAGAACAAAAGTAAAGGACTTGTTCTGAAATACGTCTTGCTGAAATATGCAACTCTATTTCTGTGAACGGAACATTAAGGAAAAGAAGGTTAAGGAGTATTGTGGCAATTCTTGAATATGTTAAAGTTTATGTTAAAAAAGAGGGAAACTGTATTTGGAAACCTCAAATACTTCTTCATAACACTGAAGGTTTCTTTTCTTCTTCTTGCAATCCCATTGCACAGTTATTTATTTTCCAGGGAACCTGAAAAATACAAAGTCCTTTCTAGGCAAATGGTACAGATTGTGTAATTGTTTTAAGTCTTTATCTCCTTAATGCCTTTTATTTCAAACATTTTTTCTCTCTATCAACCACACATAGGCAGACTAACATATTTTCTGGGTTAATACCCTAACTTTCTTTTTACGTCTATCACACTAAATCATAGTTTTAGGGAGGTATTTGTATGCTTTATTTCAATGACCTTAACAGATTTGAGAGCTGGCCAAACTAACAAAATGAGTTTCAACAAGGACAAATGTAAGATACAACTCATAGGCAGAAAAAAATGAAATGTAAAGATACAGAATGGGTGATGCCTGGCTCGACAACAGTCCATGTGGGAAAGATCTTGGAGGCTTCATAGGCAACAAGTTGAACATGAGCAAACAATGTGATGCAGCAGCTAAAACCAATGGGATTTTGGGCTGCATCAAAAGGAGTACAGTATATAGATCGAGGGAAGTAATTGTATTCTGCTTTGGTTAGACCTCACCTGGAATACTGTGTCAAATTCTGGGAACCACAGTTCAAAAGAGATATTGACAAGCTGGAAGGTGTCCAGAGGTGGGCGACTAAAATAATCAAAGTCTGGAGACCACAAATCCTTATGAGAAGCATCTTAAGGAACTGGGTATGATTTAGCCTACAGAAGAGGTTGAGAGGGGTCACAGCAATGGGTTCAAATTACAGGAAAGGAGATTTAACCTGAATATTAGGGAAAACTTCCTGACCATACGAGCTGTTCAAGAGTGGAACTCTCTGCCTTGGAAGGTGGTGGAAGCTCCTTCCATGGAAACTTTTAAACAGAGGCTGGATGGCCATCTGTCAGGGGTACTTTGATTGTGTTTTTCCTGCATGGCAGGGGGTTAGACTAGATGGCTTATGGGGTCTCTTCCAACTCTATGATTCTAGAGAGCAAGGAAGTAAAACTATACATTGCCATTATGCTTCTTGTATTAACTATAGATAACACTCAATTAGTTTGTACACAATTTGAAGTAGAACCAAGTAAAGGCAATATGCATTTAAATCTTTAAAATCTTGGAGTATATCACCCCTCAGTTTGCAGTCATCATATAAAACAGTTAAGAATACTGAAGCATTTTGAGGAGAAGAGTAAAATCAGTGTACCTTGCATTAAAGACTATGTGCTATGTTTCCTTCAGTCATTTTAGGCTATGCCAGTATAATTTTGATACATGAACTTTTTCCCCTGTCTGATCAAACATTTTATTACAGTCCCTCATTCCTTCCACTCTGTTGGTCCATCTCATTAAAGGATTTTCTTGGAAGTAGATTCCTTCTGAGTGGTGCAAATATCACAGAAGTTCTCAATGTATAATGCATAACTAAGATGTACCTTCTCCTTGTGTGCAGCCTTCATGTAATTTCTCTCAATTGTAATTTCATTTACATTGGTTAGTTCAGATTTCCAAGTGATTCAGTTATATATGTAAGATAAACAAGGAACTACTTGAAGCTTCATAGCTCTAACTATACTAGGATCTCTCAGTATAGCCCAGTTCTCACGCAACCCCTACAGTTCTCATGCAAGTCCCTTTTCGCCCTACAAGATGACATAAGAAGTTCCAGAGGCAGTGTAACATGAGAACCACCAACATATGGGTTTCCTCCCGTATATATACCCAAAATCTATAGATGCGTTATCCTTACAAATAAGAACAGAAGTAGCCATTTTCTGCTAAAAATGTACCGTCAGGATTCTTTTAATAGATGTACAGGTAAATGGTTGTATCACCATATAGGACTGTAATATATTTTATGGGAAGGAAATCTGTGATTCTGTAGACATAGGACTCAGCTTTCCATCAGTCTGAACCACCATGGTTAATGGTCATGGGTTATGGGTCATAGCATTTCGTCCCTGAAGAGACACAGGCTCCTTGACCTACAGGAGGAAGGTAGTTGCAAGACGGCAAGGAATATTCAGCCAGTTGACAGTGATGAAAACCTGGGAGCATTTGTTAATGAGCTCCAATAATACCAGTTCAGGATACCACGATAAATACTGCCACACTGGTAATAAACAGGAAAAAGGAAAAGGAAAAGAAAAACTGATCTAGGAAAAGGGGGAGGGAGGATGCACTGTCTTGATTAGTATTAAAAATGTTTTACATTGTGGAAAATTATAGCTTTGATGAGGACCTCCTACTAAATTTATTTTTAACTGCTCTATTGAAAATTCTGTACCACTAGTCAACATTATCTCTCAGTTGCTCAGCACAGTGTTTCTCTATTAAAAGAAATAGGCATGAATATTTTTGACTGAAAAATTAATAGCTTTTGAATTCATACACAGCAGGTTTTCTTTTCCAAAGAAGTCCAATATCGCTGCACAGCACTTGTATAACCATTTATTTAGAGTCCAAGTCAAACCTTTGACAGCTAGAGCAGTGTTACAAGCCAACATAAAGAACTCCAAGATGTAAACCAACAATAGGCAGTCTGTGTGAGGTTTTCCATTGTCAAATACATAGATTGTTTGGATTAGTTTATGTAAATGTACTGTTGTATTACCCTTTGAAAAAAAAAGATCACATTTGTGTATGAAAAGTGGTTTCGTTCACAGGCAGCATTATAAATTCCTTATCCTTTAACTTACATGTTAGAAGTAAAAATTGGTGCCTGACAGGCCCATATTGTGTGACACTCTGTTGTTGGATTGAAACAGCCTTCTTTTCATTTATTGAAATATAGAAAAATTTATTATAGATACGATCAGATAAATCAGAAATTATTAAAATATGTATAGGTGAAGCATTCGCAAATTAATTATAAAATGTAGGAATATAGTATTTTGCATATTGTATTTTCCCTGTAAGGGGGGAAAATAGTGCAGGCATCACAGAGTCTATGCTAGCTCTCGTTCCTTTTAACTCAGCAGGATAGAGCGTTGGTTAGAAGAGATCTGATGACCAATACTGCAGTGCAAAGTATTCTTTACACCCAGTAATTAATTTTTCCTTTCTCCCCATAACAGATGCAAGGTGTATGCTCACTTTTATATTTCTGGCCCAGTGTTCATGAGAAAATCATTGCTGATCCAAAGCAAGAAATAACAGAGATACAAAATTGTGTCTTGTTAATTACTTACATTGTGTGTACATTAAAATAATCATAACCAGCCACAAAACGATGTGACTTCGTTAAACAATAAATGTTTTAGCCGTGCATCATTTGATTGTCTTTGGTAGTTCTCATAGGTCAGTTGCTTTACTCTTGTCTAGGTACATAATTTAGCACCGTATTATGCTGAACTCTTTGATCAGTTCCCAGTGCTACACAACGAATCAAGAATCCCCCAAACCACACAGAGCAGCAACTTGTCAGATATAATCAAGGGAAGAAGCATGTAGGAGATTATCTTCTTAAAATAAGCAATCTCTTAGTCTTAGGATGAATGCAAGTTTCTTGAGTGTACAGATCTGCCACTTGCTTAAGGACTTGCTGGACGTCCAAGAAGTGTGTAATGGAAACATTTTATTTTATAAACAGCTGTTTCACATCTCTCTGTCTGTATGTGTACATACACAAGGAATTTGCATTTTGCAAGATAAAACAAGAAAAATGTTTCCAAATAATGGATAGTGGCATGAATATCCAGACTAGGCTATATTGGTATGCGCGTGTGAAGAGGAGGATAATGGCAGAATTCTCCAGACTGGGTATAAAATCAAACTGGAGTTGGTAACTGGCAGTATTTTATTTATTTATTTGTTATTGACTGTACTTATACCCTGCCCTTCTCACCTCCAAAGGGGGACGGAGGGCCGCTTACAAACTATGGCAATAATTCAAGATATTCAGACAATAACAATA